CCCGCCAATCCCGGAAGAAACGTATAGTCAGTCCCCTTTTTCACGCAACTGTTCAAAATAACGCGACCCTTCTTCCTCACTCGGATTTTGTGAACTCGCATTTTGCATTTTTCGCATAAGGGACACAGGAGAGAAATTGTCATCGTCGCAGTTGTTACCAAATGATTTGCGAACCCTCAAGTCATGATTTTTCGAGGTGAGACAGACAAGTGGCTGAAGAAAAAGAGCCAAAGTACTTTTAAACAATTTTACTTTATCTCACAGAATATTTTAAAGAAAGAAGACTATATACTTCAGAGTTGTTGGAATTGGCTTAAAAAAGATCGATTCTCTTCACAGCAATATTTCTATCGCTTCAATTGTCGCCACCGCGCGCGGCTTTTAATTTCTCACAGGCGTGTTTCCTAAACTGATTCGGACATGCTTTTTGTCCGATTATCGAACGTCCTCTGTTCACGCTCGCTCTTACACAAATGTATCGCCATCAACAATCCTCAGACTCCGATCGGTCTCTCCTTCATCAAGTTCGTGTTCGCGCTGTAATCGATAGTTCAAAACCCAGGCGACTCGCAAAGCGACCACCCCGCACGTGGGGGACGTGGGGGTTCCTCCCGAAAGGCTTCTACGCTGCATCTTCTGTGTTAAAGATCCTTTCGATATTGAGCTCCGGCTCAACAGGTCGAGCTCGCGAGGAAGTGGCACACAGGGTGTCGTGTTAAACCTTACACATTGTTGCTCGAGAATCATGCAAGCGCGATATGCGGTTGGACGATTCTTATAGTTATAATTATATAATTACAGAAACATAACGCTTTCGCATCACGTATACGCGGAGCGTTCCAGGACTGGCAATCTCGTCTTTCATGTGCGAGTTGAATTGGTTCTTTTTGGACCAATTTGGAATCGTAGATGAATGGGGATCTGTTCGAAGATCCCTGGAACACCCGCTATTTATTAAAGACCCTTTCTTTTGACAGAGATGTAGTGGTGACTGCGAATGTTAGAACGACGACACAATCTCTGATTTGAAATTCGTATTTCCTGTAATTTCGACCCCGCAGGAACTTGAATTCTTGAAAGTTAGTTCAGGGGGACCCTCTCGCGGCCCCCGAGGTTTTAGTGTAATTTCGAAACATTCTTCAAATAGCGAACAGTCCAAAATGCCAGGCACCTAGGACGTACTCTGAGTCCGCGGAAATGTTGAGTGAATCGCCGTATTCCTAGACCTTTGGGCTCTTCGAATAAGATACTTTGCGTAATCTTAGAAACTTTGCGAAACTTTAAGTCCTTAATTTGCAACAACAAAAAAACGCGCGAAATCCCTTTGGAATGTTGATTCCCAAGATCTTTATGATTAAATTATACATATACATATACGCATATACATATATATATGTATATATATTTTTAGGCGTAATATATGATTATAACTATGCCTCACGTCTCGAGCTGAGAGACGCGACCCGATATCGCTTGTCGAAACAGTCAGGCGTTTCTGTGATTCCTATAGACTCGAACGGTGTAACGACACTGAGGTTCTCACACTTGAAAAGAAGAAAAAAAAAGAATTCACGCGGACGATAGCGCTCGTCCTGCGTCGGGATCCGGCGATCCTGGCGAACGGGGTTTACTTTTCATTCATATAGCCATTCGAGTGCCAACCCGAGACTTAACTCTTTGATTACTAAACGGAGAAGGAAGCGATTCTCATGCGCACGAGATTACTATCTGAATTGTAAAGTCAAAGAGACTTACTTAGAGATTTCGCGCCGGTCATGGGGTTCACGTTTTTTTTTTTTATAGTTTGATTAACTTTCAATCGATTAAATTTTGTCCTATCTTTTACCGCTTTCATCATTTTTAATTGTTCATAAAATGTTCATAAAGCTCATTTTTGCATAGTTGCGCCGATATATGCACATCATACATAATTATATCTTTTATTCTAATAAATAAAATGTTGGCAGTGTGCCGACAGTTTGCCAGCAAATTCGAGTAAACTATTGCAGATTGCCACTATCTATTCCGAATTAAGTTCGTGTTCAGTTGGTAGATCCTGATATACGATCTGACAGCAGAATCTCCCATTCTGTAACTATTTAAATGGAATGTATGGTTTAAACGGTCATCACGAAGTGATAAATTTTGTTTGGTTTCTGTAGTCAATCTGCCATCATATTCCAGTTATATTTCTGCTGGCATTTTAACAATGAAATTTGTTCCATACACTTTGCGAAAACTGTTTTTGACAGATTAGCTATCGTATTTACGACGGAATTATACATATATAATAAACGACGGGACGTATATAAGTGACGAAAGTCTGCATCAGAAAGTATTTCAAGGGTGGGTGTTGAAATTCGCTACTAATTATAATTACACTGAGGGAAAAATATTGTAGAATCAACAAAACAATTTTGTTGATTTCTCAATTTATTGACCCAATTATTTATTTTATTGAATTAAGTACACGTCTATTGTTTGAACAAAATGAAATAATTGAATTCTGAAAATTGTATCATACAAAATCATTTTTTTTAAGTTAATGATCAATTTTGTTAACTCAATAAAATAATTTTGTTGAACCAAGAACATTATAACGTTTTTAAAAATAGTAAATTTATTCAAAGAAATATTTAGTTAATGTTATATTATGTATAATTGATAGTATAAAATATTTAGTTAAAAAGAACAAATCAATATAGTCAACAAACAAAATAGTCAAAAAGAACAAAAAGAACAAAATATTTTGTACAAATATTTTGTTAAGCCAATCAAATCATCTGCTTGATAACTAACAGTTTTATTAAATCAACAAAATTTTTTTTTTGAAAAAAAAAATATATATATTTCTCTCAGTGTAGCGTTCACATATACGGGGCGTTATTATAATCACGACTAATAGTTTAAGACGACGGGACGAGGATGCTATCGTCCGCGTCGCTAAGGAACAAATCCCACGCAACGAATCTTGAAAGTAGTCAATATCTAATCAATTCCGAGGGATAGGATCAACTCTCTTAGGGGATAATTAAATGGAAAGGGACAGGGGACGAAGGGTGGGAAACGTAACCCCAAGCAAATAAATTTCAAGTTTATTTACAAGGGGTTATGCTTCCCACCCTTCGTCTCCGTCAAGCGGGAGGACGTGTTTTTCGACGGAGAACGATTAAGTATCTTCCATTATTAGTGACTCGATCATCAACAGTGGGTGAGCGTTACGGATGAGTTTGCCATTAAAATGTGGGGTGCGATTAATACGAGGAAGAGTGTGTATATACGTTACGTGTATTTAATTATAATAGCGACGACATAAACGTAGCGCATATTTTTAAAGGAGAAGAAAATAATACGAACGCCATGGCACTAAGCAACCGATTAAATTGCGAATCCCGCGTTAAAAATAGGGCCCGGTCGATACTCTTTAAAAACTAGCGTTAATCACGAAGCTGATCGATCATTATTAACGAGGGACGGAACGCGCGTATAACTTATTACGATGTCTATGAACCAACGTGTTTTCATGTCGAGAACAAATAAATTTGCAAATCGGAAGGATTGCGTTCTGAATCTTTTTATTATCCCTCCCCCCCCCTCTCTCTCATTAATCAATTCCCGCGATTAGCTCACTACAGCGCGAAAAACAAGAAAATTATATTCCAAGTAGAAGAAAAGATCGGTGTATTTGTGAAATCGTAGAATAAAACTATATCTTATATATGTTCCTTCTTTACTGAATTAATATATTTGAATCATCTTTGCTTTATTCATTTTTTAATATAATTCCTACATTTTGATGCTTTTTCTAAATAAGTTTTTTCTGAATTTAAATTATGGTTAAAAGTCATCTTTTTTACAATTATTGATAAAATTACAGAAGTGCACTTAAAAAGTTTCGATGTTGTTTAGAGATGTGCCACAATTTCACATCCCATGTAATAATTTATCCTTCTTTTCTTCATGTATTTCAGGCTACAAGTAAAAGATGTTACACTAGCTGATAAATCAAGTAATTTAAAATAATTTTTTTCTTTCTTAATAATCTGCTTCTAACTATTCAAACCACGAGAGAATTATATGTTCAACCTTCTTTTAAATACGTAAACATATCCGAAAATTATCTTATATAGCTCAAAATGTATAAGAAACATTTACTTTAAAGAATGTAAAAAAATATTAGTATTTCAATCAATTTTTCAAATGCATCCTCTCACTTTAAGCAGAAAAAGTCAAATGAGGGAAAAGTAAGTTTGGAAAAAAATTAATGCAGTATGTTTGTAATAAACTGTATTTGTCTTTTTAAATGTGTCTATATGTATGCATGCCATTGGTTTTCATGTGTGTTGAATTGAACACTTCCCGTATCGATATAATTTCTCTAGAGACACGTTTTACTCCGTTTCTCTCGAATTTATCTCGTTGCAATTTCAATAAGAGTACGAAGTATAGCTGGCTAGTACATCCAACAAGAATTTTTATATACAGAATGATTCTAGTAACTGGACCAGGTTATAGCTCTTTCTTAAGTCAAGATAGAAAAACATGGTAAAATAGAAGCTATTACTGTTTATTTAGTATGAGACAGATCTACTATTACGTGATTATATTTTTTCGAATAATGCAGTGATGTATACAAGATGCAACGCACTTTTTTTAAAATGGAATCATGCTCTTTTTTAACATAAATCGATTCTTTCTATTATTATATATATAAAAGAATAAGATAAGGTAATCGGAAGGTTAATACTTGTCAGTTATTACACATTTTATATTAGAAAATTACTTTATTACATTAAGTGCTTGACTAACACATTTTCTAATTTGTGAATACACGTTATCTTTTAAATACCTCTATAAAGAAAACATCAAGGGGATTCAAATCAGGTGAACAAGGCTAAAGTGGAGGAATGCGGATTTAAAACAATTTTTCTTTATAGATTTGTATCAAATATCTAGTCACAATACAATTAGTGACCAACATGACAATGTTATGGAAAATATAAAAAAATTTGTTGGAAGATATTTAGAATGTCATGGTAGTGTATTTGATGTAATAATTTTGACAAAATGTGTAATATCCAGCAAAGTATTGACTTTCCGATTCCTAATTCTATTATACAGAATAATGAAAAAAATCTATTTATGTTAAAAAAAGTATATAATTCCATTTAAAAAAAATGCAATTGCATTTTACTAATCTAGTTAGTTACTAGAATTACCTTGTACCATATATATAAAGATAACTAAAATATTTGAAACAATTACATAATGAGTATATCCGTTTGTTTTTCTGTTCCAAAGTATTTTTAAAAAATCTTTGAATTTTATCGCAATGCGATAAGTAATAAACAGAACTTTTTTTTCATCAGAAGATACTTTTTACATATTTTAATATGTCACTATTGATTATTTCAGTTTACATTGATTAAATCATCGAAATTTTGTTTTCATTCAAATTAATGCTGTCGTCTAAGTAAATGTATAGAATAAAAAATTTGTTCAAAAGTTAGTTCAAATATAAAAATATACAGAAAAGACTGCGTTACAACGTAATTATTTACATGTTTTGTACAAGAAGGAAGTTCTATCTACACTCAATGAATTTAGAGATATATTCGCATTATTGCAACATACTAAAAGTTTGTATTTGATCATTTCCTATATAGCAGTATCTTTAAAAAATTTCTTCTTGACATATTTCAACAAAATCATGCTAAGTCCTATCAATTCGCTTCCTTTTGCGTTTCTTCTTTTTCCGTTTCCTTTGTTGCTTCTTCTTGAACAGGTTTTTCAGGTTCCTTGCTCACGTCTTGCTCGTTAATATTATTTTCGGTTGCAGTTCTCGACCACGAGCAACTTCTACGACCTGGCGACTTTGGCATAGACCAAGAACTACTGCGTGATCTGCGTCTGGGTGACGTGGGTCGTGATTTCGCCCGCGTAACTTTGACGGAAGACGATCTCTCGCCACGCTTGCTCCTATAACGATTCTTGTTGCGGGACTTGGAGCGACTTCTGGATCGCGATTTTCGTTTGGATCTAGAACGACGCGTTCTGGAGTTGGACTTTGATCTAGATGATTTCTTGCGCTTTGTTTTAGAGTTCGATCTTGTTCTTGTTCTCGTTCTCCTCTTCGAGACCGATCTACTTGCCGATTTCCGGCGGTTGCGCGATCTAGAGCGCGATTTCGAACGATGCGATCGCGATCTCGATCTGCGCGATCGTGATCTCGATCTGCGTGATCGTGATCTCGATCTGCGCGATCGCGATCTCGATCTGTGCGATCGTGATCTGGATTTCGACCTTCTCTTGGAGCGCGAATCGCTGCGTCTTCTACTACGCGATCTGGAGACGCTCCTGGATTTTGACTTGGTCCTCGTTCTTGAGATAGATCTATTTATCGGTTTTCGATTACGGTTACGCATCCTCGATTTTTGCTTCGAGTCCCGCTCGACCAGATGTGTAAAATACTCGTAGTATTGTCCATTATATAAATAAGGATTTGCCAACGCATAGTTCATTTCGTATCGTCCCCGACCTCTACCCATAGGTAACATGGGCTGATGGATCGACATCGAATATCCCGACATTGGCGACCGCATCATCTGTGATCTCGCATACCTCGGCATTCTCAACGTATGGAATGGCGCCATTGACGGCAACATTGGTATCCTGTCCATCGATATCGAATCAGAATAGTCATAAGGAAGATTTGCTGGCACAGCATCTGTAATTAATGTTGGGTTATTTTACTACATCTGTACATTTTTATTTCACAGCATTATATGTATAAATAATATTTTGTATGAAACGTACCTTTAGACGAAGTCGCACCGTCGTTTTTTATCAAGACACTCTTCAGTTTTTTCTTATTTGTCTCTTTATCTGATTCTTCCTCGGTTGTGCTACCTGAGCCGGAATTATCACCTTTTTTCCGTTTTTTCTGCGTTTTCTTCTGCTTTTTCTATAACAATAAAAATATTATTAAATGCTAATTCTTAAATAGCGTTGCATTGCAATAATGCAAATTTTACGTAATAAAATAATTAAACACCTTTTTCTTTTTATCTTTCTTTGTTTTCTTCTTCTTGTCCTTATTTTTTTTGTCATTTTCCGAATCTACTTTCTTAGCATTTTCACTTGTTTGATCATTTTTTGTTTCGTTCTTTTTTGCGATGTTTTGATCCAGCTTAATCTCTTTCTTCTCCACTTTCGTCTGTAATTGAGATACATAATCAGATACGTATTCGTGAATTAATTTTATCGGTTTTATTCAACCTTAAAACGATTTTATCACCAACAATTTATTTTTTGTCACCCACCTTTATTCTGTCAAACAGTTCATCTAATAATCGTATGCTTTCCAACTGCCGTTGAGCTTTTATCAACTTATGTTCTTCCCTAGCGATCTTCATTGAAACCTTGTCCTCTTCTTGCTTACGAAACTTCGTGAGAGCCTTTCGTTTTCGTTTCTCTTCCCGCGTTCGTTGTCGATCTACTTTTGCTAGTGAATCTGCTTCCTCCTTTTTTCTAAGGTTAAAGCAAGAATAATTTTGTATCACAAAAAAGAAATACAATACCGTATTTATAGAATACGTCTTAAAGTATTTTTCTCATTAAAACGCTTACTTCAATTCCTCTTGCCGTTTCTTTTCTGCTTCTTCTCTTTTTCGAATTTTCTCCGCCGCTAAATTGTCCTGCGCTATTAAACGCCTTCTCTCGAATTCCCGATGCGATACCGAACTGTCGCTCATGTGTTTGGTCTTGTCAAAATCAACCTGAATGGAATTATTTCAATCATCAAAAGATATTCGATTTAATAATCTTTTTTTTTGTTCTGTTTATTTTGAAAATTATTTGTCGCATATAGTCGCGTTTAGAATGTATGTTATCTTACGTTAAGTTAAGTTTACAATTATTAACATTCCGGAAAACATATTATACACATTAGTATTGATGCAGATATACAGTCAAAAAAGTTTTAATGTCACAACAGATATACTATAGAGGCATTGTATTTTCTATTGAATATTACCTTTATTGTCGCCGTCAACGAATTCTGGCCGTCTTTCTTCAACAGTTTCATACCACGCAGAGCGTCCATCGCTCTGACAAAATCCATATATTCGACATACTGTATGTACACGTCGAAAAATAAGCCGTCCTCGTAACTGAACTTATGAATGTTATTACCGAGCCGCATTCTGGATCTGTAGCGATCCGCGGCAGGCACGTCGAGTCTCCTCAACGTGCCCCATTTCTGAAAGATCTTCGTGACTAGCGACTCACTCGGTACGCTTGCGTTATCCTCGGAGAACCATTTAACTGGCAGACCGGTAATGTGGATAGTGTCCGGTCTCTCGCCGGCCTTCAACTCGTTCATGTGTTTCGCATCCCTGAAATAGGAGTTCCAGCTGTGTTTCGTTGGGAAGTCATCCTTCGTCTCGGCCGCCCGGATCTTAATGAAGTCAAAAATTAATTAACTCCTTCAATGTCACAGATCTCGTTGTTTAAATCTCTGTGTTTAATGCAGAATTGTATTGCGCGATTAAAATTGGTGGCGACATTTACCTTGAGGACGTTGGGAAAGCCGGCGAGATTCAATTGCTGCAGGTCCAGCCTGGCCAACACCCTCGGCAACCTGCATCGGTCCCGCAGGTCGCCCTCCAGCCGAATGAATTCCAGAGTGCTTTTGGCCACTTTCAGGGATTCGAATTCGTCCGGCAGTATAAGCGCGCGTATCTTCTCCATTACCTCCCATGTCGATATTGTTTTGCCTATTTATAGCGCAGTTAAGTTTCTGTAAGAAGCTATCTTTACTAGAGCTGTTGCAAGTGGCTCGTGGCATCGCACGGATCACTTGGAATCATGGTTTCTCTTCCAATAGTTGAATGCTACGTTATTTCTCCTGTCATTCTCTGCTAGAGACAACGTAAATGCAAGTGCATAGACTTGTTGCGATAACTTTATCTCTCAAAAACAAGTTCCTTACAAATTAGCTAATAGAAATAAAGTAATAAGATCACAAATAAACGGTAAGTATTTTCGTGTGTCAAGTTGAATGATTATCGTCGCTCAAATAAATGTTGACAAACATTAACAAAGCGTTAGACAGTAATAAGAAAGATGCAAAAATAGATCCGGAATTCATAACAAATGCAAATTAAGATTAGATGGATGAAACAAACTCAGTATTTAATCAAGATTAAATATAAAATAATAAAAAGAAACTTGAAAAATTAAAGTTTATAAGAACTGTACATTATTCTTGTAATCAAAATATTGGAATTACAAAATTAATACCAAAGTTATGTGATAACTCTAATTTTTTTTAGTCTCATTTAAGAGGGAAAAGTTCTGCTCCTCCATTTTCTAAAAATTCATTATCGCAGCATAACTCTCATTTGATTGATATATCAAATGAAGTTAAAGAGGAACATTAATACCTACACAGCCCTAATTTTATCATACCAATATATCTTAATAAATATGCCACAAAAAGAAACTTTATAGCATGTAGTATAGCAACATATACAATAAGTAGAAGAACTGCTTAACTTAAATTCTCGAAAATAGGAACTGTATAAATTCAATCGACAAAAATATATATTGCAGATAAAATTTCATAAACAGAGAAAAGTTCAGTTTCTTTTTTGAAATACATGTTGTAGCATTATTGCATTATTAAAAAATATGAATTATGATCAACACAGATCGTTGTTCCAAGATTAAGTATAAGATTTTAAGAGACACAATTAGAAAAAAAAAATTGTATCGACAGAATCCAAAGCATGGTTGATAAAACACGAACATCAGTTAGAATTTAAACATTTGTTTGAGTCCTAGCAGCTGCGCTTTGGCTTCTATTGTCCATGCTGCAATATATAGTTCAGAATCTATTGCTGTACGATATAACAGTTGAGGAAAAAGAGACAAAAAGGGGGAAAAAATAAAGACATAGAAAAGAGGTCCGT